GCTCCATGATCCCGGGCGGATGGCGTGGAAGGAAGGAGCGGAGAGCGGCGGGACTCTCCCAACTTCCTTAATACCCGGGAATGTATCCGCCAGCTTGTGCCTGGCAAAGCTGCGATTCCCAGGAGTCCGCGTTGGAAAAGCAGGGATGCACGGAGACCTTTGGAGAAGGCCCCGCTCCGAGCGGACGGGCTCCCGCGGCGCTCCGCGTCCCGGCGCCGTTGTTCCCGCTGCCGCTAGATGGAATCGCCGGGCTCCCGCGTGCCCCTCCGGACAGCCGGGAATGCCCAGCGGGAATCGCGAGCTGGGCACGGAGCCGGGGGGCCGTGGACAGGCCGGGGGAGCCGTGGGCTCCTTGGGGCGCAGCGCCCTGCATGCAGGCGGGTGACTTGCTGCAGGCGCCGCATGCTCTGACCTCGTTCCTTGCCGGCATCATACGCTCTGCGCCGGCCCAAATTGCTGCTTTTCTGCTTTTTTCCTCGTCGCTCCTGCTGAGATCAAGGGCGGATGGTGCAAAAGACACTTTTTCCCCCAGGTTTTGGGCCGCTGCAGACCCTGTTGTTTGGTGCCTCCTGCCTCTTTGTCCCCAAAGGTCCCGAGCGCCCGCCCTGGTGTCACTGTGTCCCCGCGGGTGCAGGGCACCTGCTGCCAGGGTGGCATTCCCGGCGAGAATTTTCTCCCGGGATAAATAATTGCGGGATTAGCTCGGTGCTGCCGTAAGGGCCGTGTCCCTGCCGACCCCGCGGCGCACGCGGGCGGCCGCTCGTGCCCTGCGCGTTGCACGGAGCCTGTTCTGCAAATCCACTTGTGCGCCGGGAATTTCGCTGCCGGTTACGGGATTAACGGCGATTGCCCGGCGGCTTCCCGCGCCGCTCTGAAATGCAAACGCGCTGATGGGAGCCGCGGCGCGGGAGCAAGGGGCAAGCGTGCCGCAGGGCAAGCGGGCAGGCCTGGGGCTGCGTCCCTGTGCAGCGTGGGTGGCTGCCGTGGGGCTGCATCCTGCTGTGGGGCTGCATCCTAACGTGGGGGCTGCATCCTGCTGCAGGGCTGCATCCCAGTGTTGGGGCTGCATCCCAATGTGGGGGCTGCATCCTGCTGCGGGGCTGCATCCTGACATGGGGCTGCACCCTGCTGCAGGTCTGCATTCCTACGTGGGGGCTGCATCCTGCTGCAGGGGCTGCATCCTGACATGGGGACTGCACCCTACTGCAGGGCTGCATTCCAATGTGGGGGCTGCATCCTGCTGCAGGGGGTGCATCCCAACGTGGGGGCTA